GGCCATGGTGACATTGTGACCATGGTGACATGGTGGCCATGGTGGCCACTTTGACCCACCATCCCTGTGGTGGTGACACCACGGTCGCAGTGACAGCCCTCCGTGGTGACACTCAGGTGCTGATGGTGACACCCAGGTGACGGTGACACAGAGGTGACAGTGACACGTAGGTAACGGTGACGCCCTCGGGGCGGGTGACACCCAGGGCACGGTGACACAACCCACGTGATGGTGGTGACACCCAGGGACTTTGTCCCCAGCGATGTCCCTGTTGTCCCCTCCCAGTGATTGTTAACCCCAACGTCACCGTGTGGGTGTGGGGACAGTGGGAACAATGGGGACAATGGGGACAATGGAGACAACGACATGGGGACAATGGGAAGTTGGGGACAAGGGTGACAGTGGGGCAGTGGGGATATGGGGACAATGGGACATGGGGGCAGTGGGGACAATGGGGACAGTGGGGTTATGGGGACAATGGGGACAACGACATGGGGACAATGGGAAGTTGGGGACAAGGGTGACAGTGGGGCAGTGGGGTTATGGGGACAATGGTGACAATGGGGACAGTGGGGTTATGGGGACAAAGGTGACTATGGGGTTATGGGGACAATGGGACATGGGGACATTGGGACAGTGGTGACAGTGGTGACAATAGGGCGTGGGGACATTGGGGACAATGGGACATGGGGACAAAGGTGACAACGTGGACAATGGGGACAGTGGGACATTGGGGTTATGAGAACTATGGGACAATGGGGACAATGGGACATGGAGAATGTGAGACAATGGGATGTGGGGACAATGGGGACAGTGGGGTTATGGGGACAATGGGGACAACGGGACATGGGGACACTGGGGACAATGGGGACAATAGAGCATGGGGACATTGGGGACAACGGGACATGGGGACAATGGGGTTGTGGGGTTATGGGGACAATGGGACATGGGGACAGTGGGACGGTGGGACAATGGGGACAATGGGAGATGGGGACATGGATACAAAGGTGACAAGGGGGACAATGGGGACATTGGGGACAATGGAGACAATGGGATATAGGGACAGTGGAGACAATGGGACAATGGGGTACAAAGGTGACAGTGGGGTTATAGGGACAATGGGGACATTGGGACTATGGTGACAAGAGGGCATGGGGACATTGGGGACATCTGGACATGGGGACAGTGGGACAATGGGGACAATGGTGACAATGGGACATGGAGACAATGAGACAACGGGACACGGGGACAGCGGGGACAACGTGACAATGGGGTTATGGGGACAATGGTGACAATAAGGCATAGGGACATTGGGGACATCTGGACATAGGGACAATGGGACATGGAGGCAATGAGACAACGGGACACGGGGACAGTGGGGACAACGTGACAATGGGGTTACGGGAACAACGAGACACGGGGACACGGGTACAAAGGTGACAACGGGTGACAATGGTGACACTCCCCCCCCCCATGGCGGTGACCCCTTGGCGCTGACAGCTCCGTGTCACCCCAGAGCTGCTGGCGATGCCGGAGGTGACGCCGGACGCGGTGTTGGTGGCGGAGGAAGACAACGTCACCCTGCAGTGCCACCCCCCCCCCGGCACCGTCACCACCTGGTGGCAGCGCGGTGACGCGCCGCTGTCCCCCGGCGGCCGCCTGTCGTTGTCCCCCGACAACCTGACGCTGACGGTGACGGCGGCGCGGCGCGGTGACGCCGGGTTGTACGGCTGCCACGTGGCCAACCCCGTCAGCAACAACCGCAGCCGCGATGTCAACGTCACCGTCGCCTGTGAGTGGGCTGATGTGGCACCGCTGTGGAGTTGTGGCACTGCCTGAGTGTGTCGTTGTGTCGTTGTGACGTTGTGCTGCTGTGTCACTGTGTTGTTATGTCTTTGTGTCACTGTGTCGTTGTGTCATTGTGTCATTGTGCTGTTGTGTCATTGTGTTGTTGTGTCATTGAGTTGTTGTGTCGTTGTGTTGTTGTGTCGTGGTGTCGTGGTGTTGTGCTGTTGTGTCATTGTGTCGTGTTGCTGTGCTGTTGAGTCGTCGTGTCATTGTGTCGTGCGGTTGTGTCATTGTGTTGTTGTGTCGCTGTGTTGTGTCGTTGTGTTGTTGTGTCGTGGTGTCGTG